ATGTATGTATGTATGTATGTAGGTGTTGTTATGACTGTAAACATGGTAAAAATAAGCAATTACTTGGTATACAGTATTGCTTAAAACCTAGGTAACTTTTTCTGACTGTATAATTAATATATCTGATGTATTCTATTTAATTTGATTTACTTACTAGTCCCCTGTCTAATCTATCGACTAGACCATTGACTATTCTATGTACTAGTCTAGTACTAGTCTCTTGACTATATATGGACTTGAATCATAGAATTTTCAATAGACTAGCCCATTCAATAGACTAGCCCATAGACTAGCCCATAGACTATTCCATAGACTATTTTATAGACTAGTCATACTAGTCCATCGAATATTGACTAGTCTATGGACTTATATATGGGTTAGTACATCGATTAGTCTGTTGACTAGTCTAGTCTCTTTACTAGTCTATTAACTAGTTTATTGATTAGTCTATAAAATAATATATTTAATAGTCAATGGATTAGTCTATGGGCTAGTCTTTTGACTAGTCTCTTGACGAGTCTATGGATTAGTACATCGATTAGTCTATTGACTAGTTTATTGTCTAGTCTCTTGATTAGTCTATTAACTAGTTTATGGACTAGTCTATAGACTAAGGAATAGTCTATGGGCTAGTCTATTGACTAGTCTATGGGCTAGTCTTTTGAGTAGTTCCTTGACGAGTCTATGGATTAGTATTAACTAGTTTATGGACTAGTCTATAGACTATGGATTAGTCTATTAAATAGTCTATGGGCTAGTCTATGGATTAGTCGATTGGCTAGTCTATTGACTAGTTATTCTATGGACTAGTCTATTAAATAGTCTATGGGCTAGTCTTTTAATTAGTCAGTAGACTACATAATGCATAGACTTCACTATTTAGTCTATTGACTAGTCTATGGATAGGTCTATTGAATAGTCTATAGGCTATTCTATGGATTAATCGATTAGCTAGTCTATTGACTAGTTAGTCTATGGACTAGTCTATTGAATAGTCTATTAACTAGCCTATTAACTAGTCTATGGACTAATCTATGGATTAGTCTATGGATTAGTCTATTGAATAGTCTAAGGAATTATTACAAACAATTGCAGAATATTAGCAGATATCTAAAAAAGGAAACCCTGTTAATATTTTAAAAGAAGTTTTAAAAACCATTAATGATAACAGATAACAGTGACGTTAATACGATCGAAAATGACAGTTAAGAGGAAAGAGATAAAGAGAGAGAGAGAAGAGCGAAAGTGACTACGTAATATTTATTTAAAAAATTGTATTGACATAACGCATTGTATAAAGATAATTTTATAAAAATAAAAATTCTCACTTAATTATTTATATATATCAAACGATTAAATCAACACAGGTGATTAAAAACAAAACGTAAATTAAAGATTAAAATTGCGATTAAGAACTGATGCAATAATACAATAAACATAAGAAATGGATTAAAAATAACTCAAAAAAAATTAAATGAAAGTTTGTTTAAAAAAATATTAATCAGCTTAAAAAAATACGAAAAAAAAATTAATTTAAGATCGAACATATTTTAACCATCTTACATGCATAAGTACTTATAATTATCAGAAGGAAATTGCATTAGTTTAGCAAATTTAGTTTTTATATAAAAAAAAAATATTCAATTATTAAATAAATTTTCTTGTTTTTCTATTTCCATATTTTCAGAATGTGTTCCGCTATGAATAGCTCATATACGGATAATGTCCATAACATTAAACATATAACCTCAAAACCTCTTATCAACGAAAAACATTTAACAACTACTCGGAACGTTAAATTCGAAACCGATGACATTCCCTATTTAAGTGAAAAATTCGATGAGACAGAGGATAATAATTGCGCTCACATCAAAATGGATACAAATTGTACAAATGACAACGATGACCTCAACAATGCTCTAAATAATTGGTCCGGCGGTGGTGGCGGTGGTAGTGGTGGCGGTGGTGATACAACAGAAGATGATATAGGCTTTCAAGATGATAATATATCGCATGTGGGCTCAGACTATTCAGAATTTCAGGCTACGGAGCAAGATAATCTATTTGCTCAACCCAATCCACCGGATGTTTATGGTGGCGACTTAAATGATGCCGATATTAAATACAATCCTGCAGAACTAATGCTCAGACCACCTTCGGGTTCAGCAATGCATTTTAATTATAACTTCCCTGCCATACCATCACAAACAGAACCTCCACCTCCAACTTCGGTGCATCGCAGTTCAAATTTGCCACATAATGCGCAATTGCCATATTTATATGGTGCTAATCATCATCCAGATATGGGCAGCTCTTCAACATCAGCTGCAGCTGCTGCGGCAGCATCATCGTCCGCTACTGGCTCCAATTATTCAACAAATTCACATTCAAATCCTGGATGCTTCCATCCGAACATGTGGTATCCTAATGCACCTTTTGGTACTTATAGATCCTATGGATCTCATGCATATGGACGTCATTATGGCCCTCAACTATCCCATGATCATATGATGGACATGTTTCAATTATCAAATAGGTAAGTAAAACAAAGCAAATTGTAATTGAAATGAAATCTTAAAAGTTGGATATTAGAGAAGTTTTGAATAGGTCAAATTTAGATCGAAACCTAATCAAATAAGAATGACCATTCCGAATCTTATATTCCGCCATCAGAAACTTCTCATATATAGATATTAATAAGGGTAACTTTCGTAGGAGGTGCTTTTATGGTAACTTGGGCCAAATAAGAACCAAACAACTTAGAATTCGGGAGAATGATTAATTTCTGATTTCTAACAGATGATTTTTGTTGATTTTTTGTTAAATGTGAATTTTTAAACGATTTATTGACAATAAAATAATTTTCTTTAAGAGAGCTTTTAGGGAGGGGTTGTTGCTCGAAGATTTTGGTTCAAAAGCTTGCTTGAGAAAAAATTTTCGTAGTTCTAGTTGGAGAGGATAATAGTTTCTTCCCATTTGATGTGCATTATCCATTCTCCTGTCAAACTAATCTCTTAACCTTTGGAACGAATTTATCACTAGTTTTACTACAGTTATATTTTTTAAATGCTAAAGAAGAGGAATAAACCCCAAAATACTAAATTATAGATTAAATATCGCGTTTTAAAACAGTTATATTACTATAAATAAAACATTAACAACACGTTTTAGTGTCTATTTTCAGCATTTTTGTAGTTATTTTTAGTAACATCAACTTTCAATTAAGTTTGAATTAAAAAGAAAATATCCATACAATTACACAGATTGTACGCCCTTTGAATTTGTCTTTTTTTCGCAATGTGAGATTGGTAATGCATAAATAATTTATTCCTAAAGGATTAAAAACTTTATGGTTAACAAAATATATACTAATACTAATACATATGTATGTATGAATGTAAATAATAAATTGATAACCTTTTTCGACTCATGGCCGGCAGTTTCCTAGAGTATATTCCCCATAAACATGTGTCAATATTTTTAGTTTCTAAATGAAAGAAACCGAATTAGGGACAAACAGAACAAATAGTTAAATAAAGCAACGAAATTCATTCAACCCCATACAAAATAATCAACATTGAACCGACCACGCAAAGTAGTATGTCTCCTCCCCGGGATATAAAGAACTGGGGAAAAAACACAAACAAGATTCACACACTTAAACTGAATTAAAGTATAATTCATAAATGAATGAATCAATGAATGACTACTTCTCTAGAAGCTAAATCATATCAAACATGACAGGCACGAACACAACTCAACAACAGCTCAATAAACCAAAACAAAATCAAGTCTCCCGCAGGATCATCTCAAGTGGGGGGCAGCACTGTACGATGTCTTGAAACATTAACTAAATTAACAACTATACAAAAATATAAAAACGAGATTCTAGGACGAATTTAACTACATACTTATGCATAGGGTTGTAAGGATGTAGTTTGTGGGTAGATACATACTTATGTACATATATGTATGTGTGTTTTAAATCGTACTATTTACTAGTGTCTTATAGACAAATACACATGTTTAGATACAAACAGTAGTGTTCGAAAACAAAGCAATTTTTTGTTATAACGATTTAAAACTATGGTTTTGGGCCATTAAAAGGCTGGAAAGCCTTCATTAGTTAAAATGTTATTTAGATTTCGGTATCAACTGAAAACTAAGTTTACACCACTAACTTACCACATAAATCAATTTGATTACTTTATCAACAAAACTTGCTTACGTTACAAACAATACTGTTTGTATCTGTATGTATGTAGAATTACATATTTGTATTTGTATGTAAATTAACGTCATGTGTTTTGTAAAGAGCTACGAAAATCTTTTTTTAGCTTTTTACCAAAATAACAACTTAAATCAATATAAATATGTACTAGTTTTTGTGTGTGTCTGTCTGTCTACTACTTCTTGTTAATTTTCTTCTTCTTCTTATTAACCCTTAATTTATCCAATCACCTTAGATTGCTTTGACAGTTTGACACTTTTGGTTTGTTAAGTGAAGATGACACATTTTCTTTGCGACTTTTATTAACAATTTGAAATGGATTTTGAAATTATTGTAAGTTACAAAAGTTAATACAACAATTTAGCAAATTTACTATTTTGTATAGTAATTTTAACATAGAATTATCCAATTCTTTCTGTATGTATATTAACGAAAAACAAAGTATTTATCTCTTCAAAAGTCCTGTTATACTAAACCTAGGACCTCTTATTCATCTAAGAAATTGATTCTGAATCAATTAGTATGCCTTTAGTGTTGCATGGTATAATTACTTTATTTAAAATGATTTATTTCTCTCACATACATACATATCAATTAAAATATTTCTAAAGAAACACAAACTTTTTAATTAAATTAATGTTTGTTTTAAATTTTAATTGTCTGTCATATAGACTTTTTGTTAACTTTTATTGAAATTTTATGAATTAATTAAGGTTCTTGCACTTTTATCGGTCACGCAAGTGTCTTTGTGAAAAAAATCATTTAGATA